GCCACAATAGACAAGGGTCAAGCCACAAACACAGCCCCACTACTGGAATTAGCTGTGGCACCTATGTACTTATTCTCGTCTCTTGTATACTCGAGTCTCTCGATGAGTTCCGAGCTATATCCGGCTGACAAAGCAACGCAGGCAGCCCCCTAAGGCTCTACACTTACCCTATCTTCCACCACATTATCAATACCCTCGAACTTAACAACAACAACAATAACAACACCACCACCACCACTACTACCACTAAATACGCCTATTTTAAGCCCTCCAGATATCGCTAACGCCTCATTTTATCGTTAAAAGAAGTCTCTCCGATACCTCATTTACCGATAGACTTACCGGCCAGCACCGAGGCCGCTACCGAGCATCGCCTTCCTCCAAAATCAACTACCCGTCCCGAGGAACCCTCGAGCAGGAGGCAGATAGAATCAGGAGGGAGGCCTTAGCGCGTCGCCTGCTTCGCTATTCGAGCGACTCAAAGGTAGGTACAAGGGACGAGGAAAGGTACATAGCAGCCACAGCCAATTCCAGTAGTGGGGTTGTATTTGTGGCTTGACCCTTGTCTAGTGTGATTTTACCCCTGCCGGGCAGAGCAAATAGTCAACAAGGGCCGAGCAAATAGTCGTTCTCCACCAAATAGCACTGTTTGCTTTGATGTCTTAGGGTTGATGAATGCAATCAGGTCGAACGTGGCTAGGTTATCTTGCGCATTATCCTACAGAGAAACCCCGCGACTCCAAGCCTCGAATCGTGACAAGTCATCTGGCAACCTGATCAGGCGAGCCACAGCCTGTATGAGAGGTGCGAGCTGCGAAGACCTACAAGTCAGGACCAAACATGTCGGCCGGCTTGCTACGAGCACGTCGACGGGCGTCAAATACCGAAGCTGAGAAGGGAGGGCAGCGTGGTGATTGGTGTTCGAATGCAGGGCGCAAGGCGACAGCGGGCGGGGATGGAGACTCAGGGTCCGGCCGAGCATCCGGGACGCGTGGTCGTATACGGGATGGGGATTCCCAGCCTCAGAAACAGCTAGGTCGGGTTGAGGCTAGATCAGGGGCGTGAAGCTTTTTCTGTTTGTCGACATGAGTAAAGCACGCACAACACGGAGGCCCAGCGAAGAAGAGGCTCTGGTGGTGCCGGGTGCAGCCGATCGCCAGGCTAGTGAAGCTTGACTGTGCGCATAGAAAATACAACGCAGGCACCAGCAAAAAGCAAGGGGGAAGGGGCCAGCGGGCTGGTCGGTCAGGTACGAAGACCTCGTTCTGGCTTGGACCATAGCAAAGGCCCGAGCTTCTCGTGTCTTACCTAAGGCACAAATTTCTATTCTAGCCAATGATGAGAAACGATTGTTGATTGCTGCTGCCAAGAGATTGCTTGATTTAAGCCCTGCGATTCCCGGCCCCGGCAGGAACAAGGGGGGGGGGCAGGGGAGCAGGGGAGCAGGAGGGCAGGGGCCTGGTAGTCTACCATGTAGGAAAGGAAGGGAATGTACGATCCAGGCCCTGAACGGCTGGTCTTCTTATCAGTCGTCGCTCCTGGCGGCGGAATACGAGGGCAGGATAGGATGGCCCATTGTAGGCAACAACCATAGTTTTCCTTCGAGCGCAATGCTCCTGGCCCCCCCGGTCCATGGCCTGTCCATGCACTAACCCCCACCTGCACCCGCCCTCTCCTGGCTCTGTGCCTGCCTCCTTTTCCCAAAAGCAGCAGTCCAGGCACCCATTTGACGATATCCGTCTTGTTCTCCTGCTCCCCCTTTTGCTGCCGCCTTTCCGCCTTCCGTGAGCCGATTGAGACTTCCCTGAACTCTCTCTCTCTCTCTCTATCTCTCTCCCCATACCCACACACCATCTTCTTGGTCTCCCGTCGCACCGGCTCGCAGCTGTCTGGCTTTTTCGCCGCCCATCCTCCTGACCTCGATCCTGTATTTGTGTCGACCGGTCGTATTTCATCATTAGCTACCTTCATCGCTACTCATCTTTTGGTTCTCCCATCTCCACGTCCCGTGTTCCACGCCGCGTCGATATTCCCTGATCCTTGACTGCTTATCTAAGGAGGAAAGCCAAGCCCATCAAGTGGACTCGGACCGTCACCACCCCGTCAGATCAACAAGAATAAGCCAACAAACAATCCCATCTGCTCCCAGCACGGCCTTTGCGTTCACAGCATTCTGCGCCCTGGACGTACATTTCGCCCTTCCTTGCACACAACGTGCCTCGAGCTTCTCTGGGCTCCGCGAGAACAACTCCATTACCACAATTTATCTCGGCAATCTTGCCTTGAATACGACCGTCTCATTTCGGAACATTCAGTTTTCGCCACATCCTGCACCTGCAGCTCATTGACCTTATCAGCAACACGTCCCCAAACCCCAACAACCCTGCCAGCGAGCGAGACGGGCCTCCTCATCTCAGCTTGCTCACGTACCCGTGCTTCTCAGTAGCCCAGCCACATCTCCGTGTCTCCATTTTGCTGCGATCGGCGCGCGCAAAAAAAAAAATCCCGGCACTCTCCTTTCTCCTCAATACCATCATCTCGATAGCGTGGCACCAGTCCCAATCGCGTGTCATCGACGTACCCATCCGGTCGCGAACGCTGCGTTAGTGCATCTCCCCTGGAGCACTGAAAAAAGAACCTACAACCCTGGACCAGCCAGCCAACCAGCCAGCCAGCCGCTCTCTTGCAGCAGCCAATCCCTCGCAGCACAGCCCACTTTCTTCTTCTCCCGCGCCGCTGAGGCCCTCCCATCCTGTCATTCGCGCAACCTCGTTCCGCTGTCACTCACCTTCTCCTTCACTCACCTCACCTCTCACTTCCCTCCCTTTCCACTCGAGCGCCGTGCACTTTTGACGCCAACGTCTCGAGAGCGCCAGTAGCGGGATTGCTCCTGCCATTTGCTTCCATCCTCACTCGACTGCCCGCCTCTGCATCATCTTCTCACAAGCAAGCCGTATACCGCGCCTTGGCTTGTTCAACCTCCGGGTGCTGCTCCGATCCGCCCTCCACTCTGGACTTCTTGGCCCGCTGCTTTTGAGACTTCACCCTCCGTCGCCGCCATGTCGTCCTCCCGCCCGTCTTCCCCGGCTCAGGTCCTCCCCTTGACGGAGAAGCCTGCAAGCGCGAGTTACTCATTACACCCGGCCTTCTACATCGGGTACGTCGTCACCGTCGGTGCTGTCGCCTCACATGTGTTGCCCGCTAACCGGTCCCAGCGCCTGGATTTTCTTCTCAAACTCGACGATCCTGTTCAACAAATGGCTTCTTGACACCGCAGGCTTCAGTAAGTTCCCTTGGCTCTGTATGTTGAATCTTCGCTAACCAAGTTGCAGAATATCGTACGTTTCCATGAGCGTTCATCGCCGCGGATTTTTGCTCACATGCTAACTCTTCGCAGCTGTCATTCTTACTTGCTGGCATCTCGTTTTTGCCACTGTCGCAACACAGATTCTTGCTCGCACGACGACTCTTCTCGACAACCGCCACCAGGTCAAGATGACTGGCCGCACATATCTCCGCGCCGTTGTGCCCATCGGCTTGTTATACTCTGGATCTCTCGTCTGCTCGAACTTGGTCTACATGTATCTCTCCGTCGCCTTCATCCAGATGCTCAAGGCCGGTGCCCCCGTGGCTGTTCTTTTCGCATCCTGGGCTTTTGGCGTTGCCGATCCTGACCTGAACACGCTCTACAACATTCTCTTCATCGTGGCCGGCGTTGCTCTTGCCTCTCTGGGAGAGATTGAGTTCTCCATCGTCGGCTTCATGTTCCAGATCGCCGGCATTGTCTTCGAGGCCGTCCGTCTCGTCATGATCCAGGTCCTGCTGAAGGGTGACGAGTCTGCGCAGAAGATGGATCCTCTGGTCAGCCTTTACTACTATGCTCCCGTCTGCGCTGTCACCAACTTTTTCGTCGCCGCCATTGCCGAGTTCCACCGATTTGAATACGCCGATTTCGAGAAGACCGGCTTCATGATTCTCATCCTCAACGCCAGCGTGGCTTTTGGCCTCAACGTCGCCAGTGTCTTCCTCATCGGCAAGACGTCTTCACTCGTCATGACCCTCACCGGAATTTTGAAGAACATTCTTCTCATTGGTGTTTCCGTTCTCATCTGGAACACCTCTGTTTCTGCCATGCAGTGCTTCGGCTACCTTCTCGCCCTCTTCGGCCTCGTCATTTACTCTACCGGCTTTGACCAACTGAAGACGCACGCTGCCAACACATGGATCTGGGCTCGCAATGCCGCTACGCAAGGGGGCGATGACGGCCGTCTCTCGCCGCTCGTCCGCCGCACGCTTGTCATTGCCGTTGTCGCCTTCGTTTTCGTCGCCCTTGTCATGGGCTACATGTACGGCGGCTCGCGCGACTTCCTCGTAGCTGGCGCTGCCGCGGCCCAAGACGGAGCTGGTGGACAGTAGACGGCAGGTCGGAAACAATTTAGACATTTACAAGTGGGGTTCGGATTATGAATGGCAGCAAACCTGCTCGTCCTCGGGCTGGAGCGGGGAGGCGCCTCGTGAAATTTTTTTTTGCTTATGAATACGGCAACAGCATGGAGTTTTTCGACGCAGACGTAAAAGTCTGAGTACGGCACGGGGTTCTCTTTCCAGGGCTTTGGCGCTGTTTGGACAGTTGGGTGGTCGGGGGTGTTTTCTGAATAATGTGCAATTGTAATCATGTAGACTTGCCACATGGCAATTGGTTCAAGACGAATGAGGACTGACGTCGCTGTTATCATGTTATCTTGCTTCAGAACTGTATGACGTGTTACATGAGGTCAAGGAGCTCAAAGGACAGACGAGCAAGGGTAGCTTGGACAAGTGTCATCATAACAATAATTCTGCAGCTAGCCCTCATGTTCATCTTGCCCATAAACCGAGGGGAACTTCGCGTGAGGCCCAAACAACAGTCCCTAAGTACTAAACACACCCAAAGTCCTGCAGACTCGTGAAGACCAAAAAAAAAAAAAAAAAAAAGAGAAGCCCGACGGACGACTGAATGACTACCGGCTCCGATCCCGCCGGTCACGGTCCCGACGCGGCGTGGGGCTCCTGTCCCTCCGGCTCCGCCTGTCGCGGTCTCGATCCCTGTCACGATCCCTATCGCGGTCGCGGTCACGGTCCCGATCGTCACGATCCCGGTCTCGATCTCGATCCCGGTCGCGACTCCTATCTCTGCGCACGCGGTCCCTATCTCTCGAGCGGCTGGGGCTGCGACTCCGGCGTCTGTCCCGGTCTCGATCCCGGTCTCGGTCCCGGTCTCGGTCCCTGTCGCGATCGTCCCTCTTCACCGGCATATCGTGCGGCCTCTCTCTGTCGCGGCCGGGGGGCACATAGCGGTCAATCTCTTCGAGGTCGCGCTTGCGCTTGGCGTCGGGGGAGCGCATGTCGTCGGCGGCGCTGACGCCGGCGCCCGAGGCGCGCTTGTCGTCGATGCCGGGGATGGGCATGCCCTTCTCGCGGGCCTCGCGCTGGGCGGCGAGGTAAGCCTTGGCCTCCTTCTCGCGCTTGCGCACCTCGTCCATCTTGGTGTGCGACGCGCGGTCGCCGGGCGGGTCCGTGTTGCGGTACGGCGGCGGGTTGTGGCGCGGCGGCGGCGGCGGCGAACGGTCGCGCCGCGGGCTGCGCGAGCGGTATCTATCGCGGCGGGGACGGGAGCGTGAGCGACTCCGTCTGTCGCGGTCGCGGCGGGGCCGAGAGCGGGATCTGTCGCGGCGCGAGCGGGAGCGTGACCTGTCGCGGTCTCGACGGTCATAGCGTGCGCGGGAGCGAGAGCGGGTGCGGTCGCGACGGGGACGAGAGCGGGACCGGGACCGGGAGCGAGAACGACGCGTGCGGGAGCGGCTTCGTCTGTCGTGGCGGTCGAAGCGGGAGCGGGATCGACTTCTCTCGCGGCGACGGGAACGCGAACGGTCGCGTCGGTCTGTTCTGTCACGGGAGCGAGAACGGTCCCGGCGTCGGCGGTCGTACTCGTGGCGCGAGCGTTGTCTAGATGAATCTTCGCGTCGGGCGTCCCTCTCTCTCTCTCGATCTCTGCCTCCGTCTCTGTCTCTGTCTCTGTCTCTGTCCTTCTCCGTGTCATCACGAGCCACCGTCTTTGACTGGCCTCGGCTCGCCGGTCGCTCCTCCTTGGCGTCTGTGGGCTTAGGCGTAGCAGACTGGCTTGCGTCTCCTTCGGGTTTGACCATGGCCGAAGATGCTCTCCGGTCGGACACCATGGGCGAACCGCGAGAGCTTTCTTTCTGCAGAGGCTTGATAGCGGAGGCTGGTGCCATCCTTCTAGGGGGCGGCGCCAGCGCTTCGTCGATTTCCATTTCGACCTTGACAGAGGAGTTGCGGTTGCTCTCGCGAAGCAGGTCGGCCAGTGCGTCCTGTTCGAGGCGCTCCAGCTGCTCCTTGGACAGGTTTTCTCTCGCCTGCTTCGTCTGTTCCTCTCTCTCCTGTCGTCGCCGCTCTCGGTCCTCGCGATCGCGCCTCTCCTGGCTCCTGTCGCGGCTCCGGCTCCTGTCGCGGCGGCGGTCTCTGTTTCGACTGCGGCTCCTCGACTTGTGGCGGGCCGGGTCGCGGGCGCGTTCCTCGTCGCGCTTGCGTCTCCGCTCGTCTCTCTCCTTCTCGCGTTCGGCTTCGGCTTTCTCTCGGGCCGCACGGCGCGCGTCACGCTCCTCCTTGCGCTTGGCTTCTTCCTTTTCCCGCTCGCGCTCGATCTTCTTCCTCTCCTCGCGCGCAATCTTCCTCTTGCCCTCCTCGATGGCGGCCTCGAGCTTGCGCAGATTCTCGCGCTCCTGCTCGCGGGCGGCGCGGCGGTCGAGCGTGTCCTGGTGGTACTCGTCGTCGGTGCGGGCGCCGCGGGCCTGCTCGGCGGCGGCCTCGTCGTCGCCAATGTCGGCGCGGCGCAGCTGGCGGATGCGGTCCTCGATGGCGTCCTTGTCGATGAGGCGCGCGATGACGGCCTCGGCGTGGTGGTAGACGCCGGAGCGCTCGAGGGCGCCGTCGATGAGGGCGGCGGCCTTGCCGCGGTCGAGCGTCAGCAGCTGGCCGGGGTTGCGCTCGACCTCGAGCTCGGCGACGCGCAGGATGTCCTTGGTGACCTGGGCCTGGTAGTCGCTCGCTTCGAACTTGTCCCAGATCTCCTTGCGCATGGCGTCGTAGCCGCCCTTCTTCTTGAAGCTGTGGGCGAGCGACTCTATGGCTGCGCGCGTCGCCGACGGCAGGGGCAGGTCGGCGGCTTTGAAGTTGCGGGCGGGTGCTGGAGGTTGCTGTTGCTGCTGCTGCTGCTGCTGCTGCTGCTGCTGCTGCTGCTGCTGCTGTTGCTGCTGAAGGTGGGTGTCGGTGGCAGCAGCAGCAGCAGCAGGGGGAGGAGGAGCGGCTGAGGCTGCTGGAGCTGGAGCTGAAGCTGGTGTGTCGGTCGCCATGGGAAGGGCCAGGCTGGTGATGGTAGTGGCCGCAGCCGCAGCCGTGGTGGCCATTGGACGCAGTTGGCCTACAGTCAGGCGTGATGGTCGCCTCTTTTTCAGTCAGTCTCGTGGTTTGTTGGCATGATGAGACAGCTCCGTCACTGCACCGGGCCGGGGATCGAGCTAGGTTCGTTGGTGATGGGATGCAAGTCGGCGTTGATGGATGTGAATGGGGCAAACGCGTGATCGCCGTCTCGTACACGTGCAGTAGCTGTAGGCAGCCAGGGTCGGAGGTTCAGGGGACAGACAGACAGACAGAGAGAGAGACTTTGACGTGATCCATGCGTTGCTGATAGCAGCTCACCGGTCTTATCAGCGGTGGGCCGGCGTGTTCGGTGAGCTCAGGGCAGACATGTACCGCAGGAAAGAGCCACTGGGAAGAGCCACGGGGAAGAGCCACTGGAATTCAGCTGCCATGGGGAGAGCTTCTTGTTGCTCAGAGTCAGACAAACAAAGTCTTCACTCTGCGACATCTTCCTCTCTGTCCGGCTACATCAATGGATCAGGTTCCTGGCGGTATGAGTGCATCTTCTCTGAATTACAAGCAGTCTACAGCACAGCAGCTAAGAGAGGTTTCCGCATCATCACCACAGACAAGATCGCACCACGACGCCATCTGCCTTGCGCCTTGTCGAACACCACTACGCAGAGCCGTCTCGGACCTATGAAACAAATTCTTCCCCGCTGCTTGTCGAGCTCCAAGCATCAAACTGGCAGCGTAAGCTACCTACACGTTTGGTTCCAACCTCTGATCCCGTTCGTCCCAGATCGACAGCCGTTGCGCAACCAGTGTGCCAGTCTCGCCGATCGCGACGCCAGAGTTCCAACATAAACCTCGCCAAAGCTCTCAATCGGCACACGGCGTCAGTCCCTCGCAATGGCGGTCCATCACGGCATCGGTCCATCACAGCGTCACAAAAAAAAATGTTGCAGTCACATTGAAGACTGGAGACGCGTCTTGCAAACCAGTCCTGCCCGTCTCCCAAACCATAGGCGTTCAGCCTCTCCGCCAGAATGGCAAGGCCCGCGTTCGAGTTTGCCAGTATAGTTCGGACGATTCTCTCTGTGACAAGCACCATGTCAATCCATTGCTGCTCCGCTTCCACTGAACAGACCCAGCGATGGAACACTGCAGTCAGCCTTTCCCGCTCCCGCCCCTGAACCTCTCACACACCGGAGGACTTGGGTCTGGCAAGTCAACCAACACCTTCCAGCTTGAACTCAATCAACCTGAACGTCGCCTCACGCGGTTCCCCCATCCATGCCCATCCAGGCACACCCAACATGCATCTACGGTTTGACAGCTGGCGCTACGGCGACGGTAGGCTAGGCATGGGTCTTTGGGGGCCCAGCTGGCCTCCCCCATCATGAGACGAAACCCCCCTCCTTGGCTCAGACCTCGCACGTTTCAGCCCGGGCAACCGGCCTCACAATGGCCCTCGCTGCCCACAGCCTCACGCGCGTCTTCAACGACCCGTTCTATGGTGACACACACTGCGGTTTTTCGTCTCGACTCGCTCGTGAACGCTCCGACCCCTCGCCGCCTGCCGGTAGCGAGTCCTGCCGATGCAACATCAGACGTCAAGCGACTGGGCCGGTCTGGCGCGCCTTGGAGCGTCCCAGTCCGTCCATCTCGTCTGTTTCTTTTCCTTTCCTCTTCCATCACTCTCTTGGTCGTGCGGTTGCTTCTGGTGAAGTGCCTTCTCTCCTTTTTTTTTCTTTTCCCTCTTCGCTTTTTTCACGTCATCGTCAACAGAGTCGTTGGCGCGCCCAGACTGAACAGAACATCCAAGCCTTCTCAGTCTTTCCATTCATTTACTCCTGGACGAGTTTCTTTTCTCTTCTCTATTCGGTTCCGTTTGCTGTACTCGATAGTAGTTCTTCCCGGACAGAGTCCTCGCTTTCTTCATTCTCATACCAAGCTTAATTCTGTTGCTTATCAAGTGAATCTCTTGGCTTGCACACTACGCTTCAGTTCTCATCAAGGCAATACGCATGCAACAAGACCACATGTCCGGCTTCCATGGAATCATAGATCGTATAGACTCCTGAACGCCAGACAGCAAACAAGCTGCTGCTTCTCGGCGGCTCGACGAAACGACGGCTTCATAATACCGTCCACGGCACGAGACGTGGCGACCAGGACACACCATCAAGCCCAGCTGGACCGGCTTCATTTTTCTTCTTCTCCGACTATTCTCTCACACGTTCACCACACCCTCGTTCATCATGAGATTACTGTCGACACTGAGTGCAGCGTGCCTCATGGGCAACGCAGCCAACGCCATCCAATTGGACGTGGACAGCGAACAATCGGTCAAGGACGCAGCGAGCACCATCGCCTTTGGTCTCGTGAGCTTCTACACAGGCAACAACACGGGCGATGTGCCCGGCAACCTCCCAGATCCCTATTTCTGTATGTAGCTCGGAAACAGACTGTGACTATGGATACTGATCAGCACGCAGGGTGGACCGCGGGCGCCATGTTCGGCACGCTTGTCGATTATTGGTTCCTCACGGGCGACGACACGTACAACGCGATCACGACACAGGCCATGGTGCACCAGGCCGGCGACGAGGCCGACTTTATGCCCCTCAACCAGACACGCACCCTCGGCAACGACGACCAGGGCTTCTGGACGCTCTCCGCCATGATGGCCACCGAGGCCGGGTACCCGGACCCGCCCGCAGACCAGCCGCAGTGGCTGGCTCTCGTGCAGGCTTGCTTCAACCAGTGGGCGCAGCGTTGGATCGAGGCGTCCGACTCGTGCGGCGGCGGGCTGCGGTGGCAGATCTTCTCGTTCAACAACGGCTTCAACTACAAAAACTCCATCTCCAACGGCTGCTTCTTCAACATCGCCGCGCGGCTGGCGCGGTACACGGGCAATCAGACGTACGCAGAGTGGGCGGAGCGCGTGTGGGACTGGGAGGTCAAGGCAGGGCTCATCACGGACGACTTCAAGGTGTACGACGGTGTCACTGTCGTCGAGAACAGCCCCGACTGCCCCAAGATTGACCAGAACCAGTGGTCCTACAACGCCGGCATTTACCTGCACGGGGCCGCCGTCATGCACAACGTGACGGGGGACGACAAGTGGCGCGCGCGCACGGTGGGACTCCTCGACGAGACGGAGAAGACATTCTTCCAGAACGGCGTCATGTTCGAGCAGCGGTGCGAGCCTTTCAAACAGTGCAACATTGATCAGAGCAGCTTCAAGGGCTACCTCGCGCGGTGGATGGCGGGCACGGCGCAGGTCGTGCCGGACCTCTTTGACCGCATCATGGGCCTGCTGCGGCCCAACGCGCAGAGCGCGGCGTCGGTCTGCGTCGGCGACCCAGACCAGGGGTTCCCAGGAATCGGCGGCACGGCCTGCGGGCTGGCGTGGCAGCCGCGGGGCCAGTTTGACGGCCTCGTCGGCGTCGGCGAGCAGATGAGCGCCCTGTCGGCTGTCATGTATACACTCGTGCAGAAGGAGAGGACGGCGCCCGTGACGGCGGAGACGGGCGGCACGAGCAAAGGCAACCCGCAAGCGGGCATGGAGCCGCACTCGTGGGAGTTTAAGCCGATACAGCAGGCCGAGCGTGTGGCCGCCGGGTTCCTGACGGTGGGCATCCTGACGTCGCTCATGGCGGGGGTCTTTTTCGTCATGAAGGAGGAGACCAAGTGAGGCTGGCGGCTGGCTGGCTGATGATCGGCCCGTCTGATGAAGTTTGTGTGTTTTTTTCCTCTTCTCTACATGTAATTCGGCGTGGCGTTCTGGTGCGGCTTTGAAAGTCCATGACGGTGGGAGCCCGGGCAAAAGGACGTGGGCTGGGCGGCAGGGGCTGGATCACAATGATGGCTGGAGGTTTAGAAAGCCTACCGATACCCAACGGCTGGAATACCATTATTATCCCTTCCTTTTTCATTGGGAATAGTTCCTCTCGTATTTTTCTTCGTGATGAATCATGCATTGTGGTCGAGCATACACTAGACTGTCGTTTCAAGGCTGTGACTGTACGGATGTGAGTGAAGTTGCAAAACGGAGGTGTAGCGATGGCACATGCAGGGCATTCGAACCCATGGCTGTGCCCCGCCTTTGGCACATGCAGTGGAAGGAAATGGTGGGGTGTGCAAGGGTGGATACACGCAGGCCACAAGACATGGGGATTAAGCCATGGTTCTGAAGGTCACAGTTACTCGAGTGCCAATGCATCGACCGAAGCTTCAATCTCGTACCATCAGAAAAATACATCAACACACAAAAACCACAGCGCCGCGAACATCCATGGAAGCCCAAAAGCGACTCGAGCCGAACAAGTACCCGTAGGGCGGGCGGATGCAGGACTAGCAAGACCCCAGGCGCTTGCGATTGCCTAATGCAGCATGCGTCATCTTTCGGGCCCGTCCACCGAATTGCAGCAGGAGCTCCCCCGATGGAGGGGCTGTTCTTGCCTTCGTTTGGCTGTTGGCGTCCGCCGGCGGTAGGTGGGATGGCACGACTTCCCCGCGGCCAACTCGGGCTCGCCTTCCCTCGGCGTGTGTTATACGATTGTCACGCTCAGTGTATAAGGTACTCGTGGTCTTGCGTCTGTCCTTCAGCTTCTCTTGATCCCTCTCTCTTCCTCCCTCCGTACCTGAGCTACCCTCATTCCACCCCCCGCCCCCCACATCTCGACTGCTGAAGACGCACCAAAGAAGAAAAGAATCAGCAGCCATGTCCTCCAAACATTTTCTCAATGATCCCGCCAAGCTGGTGACTACGGCCCTGCACAGCGTCACCCTGACCAACCCATCTCTCGCGCTCGACACGCCCAACAAGATTGTCTACCGCCGACCCAGCGCCAATGCGTCCCCGCAGGTAGCCGTCATCTCCGGCGGCGGCTCCGGCCACGAGCCCTCGTTCGCCGCCATGGTCGGCCAAGGCCTGCTCTCGGCCGCTGTCGCAGGCACCATCTTCGCCTCGCCCTCGGCCGAGCAGGTCCGCACAGCCATCGCCGGCCGCGTCGACAAGGACAAGGGCGTCCTCGTCACCGTCATGAACTACACCGGCGACGTGCTCAACTTTGGCGTCGCCGTCGAAAAGGCACGCGCCGCCGGCATCGACGTCGAGATGGTCGTCGTCGGCGACGACGTCGGTGTCGGGCGCAAGGCTGCCGGCAAGGTCGGCCGTCGGGGCATCGCCGGCACGGTGCTCGTGCACAAGATGTCCGGCGCCGCGGCCGCCCTCGGCCGCAGCCTGAAGGAGGTGGCGTCCGTCGCGAGGCTCGTCGCTGAGAACCTCGTCTCCGTCGGCGCGAGTCTCGAGCACGTTCATGTGCCTGGCCGCGCCGTCGGGCAGGAGGACGGGCTGGAGGCGAACGAGGTCGAGCTGGGCATGGGCATCCACAACGAGCCTGGGTCTGGTCGCGTCAAGGGCGTTGAGCTCCCCGAGCTCGTGTCCCAGATGCTGAAGCAGCTCCTGGACCAGGGCGACGCCGACCGCGCGTTCCTCCGTGTGAACTCGAACGAGGTTGTGCTGCTCATCAACAACCTTGGCGGCGTCAGCGTGCTCGAGCTTGGCGGCATCACGGCCGAGGTCGCGGTGCAGCTTGAGGGCAGCTACAACATCAAGCCCGTCCGCATCCTCAGCGGCACGTACATGACGAGCCTCAACGGCAACGGCTTCAGCATCTCGCTACTCAACGTGGTCAACACGAACCTTGGCGGACCCAGCATGATCGAGCTGCTGGATCACCCGGCCGAGGCCAACGGCTGGGCGGCGCCCATTGCCAAGGAGACGTGGGAGGCCAAGAACACGGCCACGCGCGAGGATGACGCCGTCAAGGCTCTATCCGCCGAAAAAAGCGGGCTCGAGTATGATGCGTCTGCGGCGGCATCTACCGTCCAGGCGGCGCTGGAGAAGGTCATTGCTGCTGAGCCCGAAATTACGCGGTACGACACTGTCGTCGGCGATGGTGACTGTGGTATCGGTCTGAAGCGTGGAGCGGAAGGTATGTCTTCACGTCTTCGATCCCAAAGCTGACCTTGACACTAACGAATTCAGCCATTCTCGCGCACCTTGCCTCCAACCCGCTGACCGGCGACGCCACGCTGGATATTGCGTCCATCGTCCCCGTCGTGGAGTCTACCATGGACGGTACATCGGGAGCCCTGTACGCCATCTTCCTCAACGCGCTCGTCGGCGCCCTGCGCTCCGCCGGTTCCGGGTCTGCCGATGCCAAGGTCTGGGCCGCCGCTCTGCGCCGCAGCAGTGATGCCATGGGACGCTACACGCCCGCCCGACCCGGTGACAGGACGCTCGTCGACGCTCTGGCGCCGTTTGTCGAGACGCTCGAATCGTCGGGTGACGTCGTCAAGGCGGCGGCGGCAGCTCGCAAGGGCGCAGAGAGCACAAAGGGCATGAAGGCGAGCCTCGGCAGGACAGTATACGTTGGTGGCAGCGGCTTCGAGCAGGTGCCCGACCCGGGCGCGTGGGGTCTTGCCGTCTTCTTTGGCGGGCTGGCTGGCGAGGCGGGCTGGGAGGAGGTGTAATGCACGGTTTGCGGATTTGCTCTGGCGGATTTGGATCTTGGGCTGTAGGATAAGGACAAGCTGTTGGTGAATGCATGGGATCGACCAGCGCACGCGGAGGACATCACTCGACGGGACTTGGATGGTGACAACAAGTGATCGTAAAAAGTCGAGTCTTTTCAACGCCAAAGTCGTAAACGAGAGGCCATCTATGTGGATCCCCACCCTCTGTCTGTTCAAACCGGTCAGACGATTTCCATGCGCGTTTTCAAATCTCGTGGCCCCGGCTGCTGTGCCCCTTCTGGCCGAGACCTTGATCTCACTGGCGGTAGGGCTCGCGGCCCAGGCGGCTGGGCCCGTCCGTATCCTCCGCCATGACGCCGCGGCGCCAGAACCCCCCCAGCCCCCATGCTTGCTATTTCCCGTACGCCCCTCACTCGTTGCATCGACGCGCTCAGCTCAGGAGAACCAGGATAACGCTGTCGCCTCGTAGGAACCTGCAGAATGTCAGTGTCCATGTCCGTGTCGGCGGGGTGACCGTCCGGGCCGTGATGGGTGCAGAGGGGGCGAGCAGGGAGGGAAGGAGACGCACATTTTGCTGATGAACCTGTCCTTGTTGACGGGCCTGCCCTTCTTGCCGTCTGCGGTTCGCGGCGTTTCTGTCCACATTTCCTTCTGTTCTGGTATCAGCTCCTCTCTCTCTCTCTCTCTCTCTCTCTCGTCTCTGGCCACACTCCAATTACGCCGCAACAGAGGCTCTGCAGCGACGATACAGAGAGCCGTAGGGACTGTGACGGGGATTCAGACGAGGGCGGTTACGTACGACGTTCTCGAGGACCCTGTACACGCGCACGTCAGCGTCAATTTTCTCCGGTGCAGGACAACTCCGCGCACGCCTTTCACCACGCGAGGGGGCAAGCAACCCCAGGGTGCGGCGATGAGGCTTCGGGGGAGACACGATGGGGGGGACGCACATGTTGCAGTGCCGGTCAAAGGCCTTGACGCGCGCCAGCAGCTTGCGGTTGTTCCTGATGGAGATGAGGACCTGGGTGTGGGAGCGGACGGCGGTCTGCAGGATCGAGAGGGGCCCGGCGCTGAACTCGTGCTCCTCGAGCTGGGCGATCTCGTACTCGGTGAGCTCGTTGCGGGGCTTGGTGAGGAGCTCTTGGATCTTGGGGTCGGACATTGTGGCGGTGGAGGGGTGGGTGTGTGTGTGTGGGAGGGAGGGAGGAGATTGAGGATGCCGTTTCCGTCGTTGTTTTTGACGGTCGGGAAAAGCTAAGGGGAGGCGTGCGCCGGGTTCTGCGTCTGTAGAATTGTCGGCGTCGACAGAGTCGAGACAGGCGCGGATCGTGGGGTGGTTGTCGCGTGGGGTGTCGTCGTTGGGTGGATGGCGAGGCTCGAGTGGTGGTGGTGGGCAGGCTGCGGCTGCGGGTACGGCATCGAAGAAATTGGGAGGTTTGGAGTGAATCGCAATGCGTGATTGGCTGTGTGCGGAGGAAGCTCGGGTCCACCCCGTTCGGCGTGGAAGATCAAGGGGCCGGCGCATCTACCATGTCCCTCAGGGCGGTGTCCGCTGGAAGTGCAGTGAGTGCAGTGAGTGGAGGGAGGCACCTTGCCTGGCCAGGGGTCCGTGCTCCCTACGGCTGCAGGATCGCCAGCTCGATTTCCCAAGGTCCAACACGAAGGTCCAGAAAGGCTACCCTCGGCCTCACAAATTTGTATGGAAACCCAATTGCCGACTCCTCCTTATACCCCGACATAGCCGATACCCCTCTCCTCCCCTCCCGCCGTCGATGCGCCACCCTGGGTCACCGAGCGCATCCAACTTCCCAGTCTCTCAATGTTTTCCAGAGCCATCGCCCTGCGCGCTGGACCAGCAGCTGCCTCGTGTCGGATTTGCAGCCACAGGAGTTTGAGCATGCCTCTGCGGGCCAAGATCAACAATGTCGGAGGGGCGCGAGCACAGGTGAGCCTACCCGCGGCGGCCAGGCAGCAAAGCGAGCCAGGACGAAAACGCCAATGCTGACGCTTCGTCCCAGATGTCGACAAGAATCAGGCCCGAAGACTTCAAGCCCCTCTCTGAAGATGACCCCGACGATGTCGTCTTCAACAGCGCGTTCGGCGTCCGCTCCATCGAGCTCAACCGCCCCAAGAAGCTCAACTCCCTGAACGCCTCCATGATCCGCAAGATTGTCCCACGCTTGAGCGAGTGGGAAAAGTCCGACATGGTCAACGTCATCCTCATGAAGGGAGCCGGCGAAAAGGCCTTCTGCGCCGGCGGCGACGTGACGGCCCTCGCCCAGTACAACCAGGAGGGACCCGGCGGCTGGAAGAAGAGCGCCGCCTACTTTGAGCTCGAGTACAAGCTCAACCACTACATCTCGACATATACCAAGCCCTACGTCGCCATCATGGACGGCATCACCATGGGCGGCGGCGTTGGCCTCAGCATCCACGCCCCCTTCCGCATCGCCACCGAGAGGACCGTCTTCGCCATGCCCGAGACGACCATTGGCTTCTTCCCTGACGTCGGCGCCTCCTTCTTCCTGCCGAGGATGAACGGCGGCATCGGCACCTACCTCGCCCTGACGAGCGACCGCCTCAAGGGCGTCAACGCCTTCTACTCGGGCATCGCCACGCACTACCTCGACTCGACGACCCTGCCGCTCGTCGAGGCCCGCCTCAGCGAGCTGCGCTTCCAGGACTACGACTCGCTGGCCCACCGCCTCGCCGTCATCAACAGCACCATTGAGGAGTACACCACGGGCCTGCCCTACGGCGAGCCCATCCTGCTGGCCGGCGAGCTGCGCCGCGCCATCGACCGCTGCTTCACCAAGGACAGCGTGCCCGAGATTCTCAAGGCCCTCGAGGCCGAGGAGGGCGCCACCAAGGCCTGGGCGCAGAAGACGCTCGAGACGCTGCACAAGCGCTCCCCGACCGCCGTCCACGTGACCCTCCGCCAGATGCGCGTCGGCCGCGACTGGTCCATCGCCAAGACGTTCCAGCGCGAGCACCAGATCGCCGCGCAGTTCATGCAGCACCCCGACTTCACCGAGGGCGTCAGCGCCCTGCTCATGAGCAAGGGCAACCCGCGCGAGCCTGCCTGGCAGCCCGCCACCCTCGAGCAGGCCGCCGCCGCCGCCGGCGACGTCGCCGAGCCCTTCTTCCGCTACGACGAGGGCCAGGCGCTCGAGCTGCTCAACGACGAGTCCTTTGACGAGTACCCCCACGAGTTTGGCCTACCCAAGGAGGACCTCATCGAGGCCGTCATCGAGCGCGGCAACCTGACACCCAAGGAGGTCGTCAGCCACGTCGCCGGCACGTACAACCACCGCACCGGCGTCGCTGAGGTCGTCGAGGAGTTCATCGACAGGGCCGTCACGACGAACAGCAAGGGCATCGCGCGCATCGCCGGCAAGAAGGGCGCCAAGGCGGCCAAGGCGTAGGACCCCCTCTGTGACGTGAGGTGGGATGCAGGATCTGTTGTACAATAGTCACGGCTGCGCCTAGAGGCCGGCTGCATGTAAAAAGAGGAGGGCCATGTATTGACTGGCTGGTCACTTGACACGTTTGCGTGAGCTTGCTTGTGATGTTTGGTGTCTGAAGCTTGGAGAAGTGATTGATGGCCTGAGGCACGATCCACGGAATGACTTGACACAAGATCGTGTCTCGTTTTCTGGCGGATGCTACTCCTCGCTTCCGATCCAAGTGGATCAACGTGACTGTGTCGTTGAATCTGCACTCATTCGCGCGCTATGTTTAGGTGACGATTCTCCCTGGAGATGTCTCGGTATGTGTGTGGAATCGCTTTGATGATTTCAGATTTACATTGCGGAAATCTCATGCAAGCAGCTGTCTAAAATTGTGTTCAAGTCGAACCGTCGCTACTCACACGTCATTCTGGCGTCTAAATGATTCTCAGGTGATATGTGTCATCCTTCGCGTCTACCTCTAAGAGCACGGTATTCGACTCTGTGGGCGTGTGGTATGTCCAGTTCTCGATCTGTCAACGGAGATCTACGGTCCTTGCCGTTTGCGCACCGGCGATTGGGTGTTCATGTGGACGGGAGTGCGGCGATATTTGAGATGTGTATACAGCATATGGTCGCGCTTGAGACCCTAGGGTTTTCGACTCTGGGTAGTTTGCACGTGTGGTAAGAAAGTGTGGCGAAACTGGTACCGCCGTTGAACACAATACTCCACCTGCTCACTTGCGCTTCCAGCGTAAAACCCAATTCTTTTCGTGTCTTTGGGAGCGTTGTTGTCGTAACGTGGAGGTGAGCAGAGTGCAGAGGTCTTTCGCAGGTGATATCCGCCGTCTGTTATTAGGTAAGGGGTGGGATTACATCTGAGCTCTGGCCCTCCATAGCTAGATGGGCTCTTTGCAGCCCTCTTATGCGCGCTCTCGTAGTCCCCAAGCCCTCACCCGCCCCTGTGACGTGGGTTCGCAGGTGCCTGGTGATAACTCTTTAATTCTAGAAGACTTGGAAGCTTGAAAAGTCGCGAAGTAAGTAACCACCTGCACCGTTGTATGAAGAGGGGATAAACAGCAATGATAGAGATCCTCTCTTCTATAGCGTCGGATGTCCAGAATAGAGCAGGAGATGTAATTTATCAAGTCCTTTGTAATGGATGCTTCGTCTTGACCTCTCGGTCCTGAAAGACACGATGGTTGTGGACATGTCTGCCATGTCAGCCCTCAGGGCTTGAGTTACCCTCGGGGAAGTAGCTACAGGACAAATTTTCTAGTTTGAAAAATGGCCAGCATGTATAATTAAGTGGTTTAGTTTCCATGTGGTGATGTCTTTTCAGAGTTTTCTCGTTACTTGAGAATGTTAATCGATGGACCTTGTCAGTAGAATTCCAAGACAACTCCGTTTCGACTTCCCGGTTGTCGCAGAGAGCGAGCTCATGCGAATAACATAAATAAGACGATTGATGAAATAGAGTTCAGTAGTAAACTGTGTCCTCATTCCAGTATGAGTTCTCGTCAGGTAAGCGAGGCCATCTGATTCTTTATGTGTGGACACCTTGATCGCACAGGCTTCCACACCAAATCATACCGAGGAAAAGGTGCCACGTTAGGATGAATTCAGTCTTGGTGAAGACTGATGTCCGCTGTATCAAGTAAAGGATAGAGGCCGACTGGTCGGGTCATGTCGTAAATTGATATGCTTTGTGCGGACTTGATTGTAAGCAAGTTCCTGGGATGACCACTTACCCCATCCCATGTTGGTTGCGAGTCTCCAGGCGGAAAGACTGCCAAGTGGACAATGCCAGACCAATGATTGGAAAGCTGGTAGCAATATTAGGCTGTCACACGTAACTAGAACACCATGACCATTGTGACTCATAGAAAACAAATCTTGTAGCCTGGTTTACCAAGCACACGTGAAAACTTAGCAAGGTATCATCATGCTGACTGCCTCGACAAACGGCTAGGGCGCATGACACTGGATATGTGGACTGATCGAAGCCTAGACAGACAGGAAAAATTGTGTTCGATGCTGCCCCACTGCTGATGTTCTCACATTGTAGACAGCCAAGCCTCGGAAGTCAATACTCGGACAACGTAACCCCTCGGGAGTCCTCCGTGATACTCAGCCGGTTCTCCACACCTTCTCGGCCCCACCCACACAGTCCGCGAACCGCTGCCAAGAGCCGAGTTTTGAAGTTGGACGGGGTGGCACGTGCATTGGCGTTCTGGCGTCCTGGCGTTATATTGGCAGGCGCGCATCCCTGTCGCTCGGCCGTTCCTGCACCTCCAGCGCCTCGCAGCGGGCGCACTGTCGTAGTACTTAGGAAGGTGCGACGCCAGACACGCCTGCCCACCAGCCGGGTTGCATCATCTGGCTTGTTCGCGACATCTTCTCTTTCAACACCAACAAAACCCACACCAGTGTCTCTCCTTCCATCGCCACTCTTCTTCCATGAGATCTCTCCCTCATCCTCGAATTTCCGTCCTCCCTCCCTTTTGTCGAACCACCCCTCCAGCACTGTAAGCCCCTGCGCCTCGCGACACGCTTTTAAGTGCCCGTTGATCCACCGACACCAGAAAACGCGCCTAAGCACGCGACGAGCGCGATCACGGACGCGGACTGGGTACCCGCCCTCCGAATTCCTTTTCTGACCGGCCAACCAGTTCAATTCCACTGCACCCCTGCACCACCTTGCACTGCTTGTCTCGCCGACTACGCAGACCTTCGACACCGACTTTCTCTTCAACCAGACTTTCCTGCAGCTGCATCTTCAAGCCCACACCCTGCCGCAATCGCGCAGGCCCGTGCCGTGACGGCTCTGTTTCTTTTCACACCCACTCAACCTGACCCGACCATCCCCAGACCTGACCGCTCCATTCTGACGACACCGCAACCAACTCGTCTCCCCTCGAGACGACCTTGTCGGAATGGCGTCACCTATGCCAGTGCAACAGCCTTCTGGCAACTGGGGCCACTACGTTCAACAGCAGAGCATGGCCGCTCCCACGCCCAACATGGATGACTTTGGCTCAGAGCGTAGGCTCATGGGGCGTAGGTCTCCCTGGGGTTCTAGCAGCGGATGCAGTTACGTGAGGAAGGAGTAGGCTGACAGCCCAAACAGTCAAAGTCAATTACACCTTCGATCGCGAAGCCCAGGTCAACTTTCTGGCTCGTCATCCTCAGCCTCTCCACGTCAACACGATTGCCCTGAGCGAGACGAAAACGATAGGTTACACCGACCTGAGCCTCTGCGCTCAAGCCATTGCCCAATGCAGCCCCGAGCTCCTGGGCGAGGACCACGACTACACCGTCTATGCGTTCGACTACTCGGAGGAGGACACACCACTCGTCGGGCAAGGCTTGCTGTCCTGGATACTGCATGCTGACCCTTCCGAATCCAAAATGATCTTTGGCCGCCTCACCAAGAACCCCCTTGCCTTGCTCCCTGGTGGAAACGGTCTCAAGGAAATGCTGGAGGTCAAGTTCAAGCTCCTGCCCACCAACAGACCGCCTCGCCGACCCGACTATGGTCGGCACGATGCCCTTGCGAGCTTTGATCAGACAATGTCCCACGTCAGGCAACATGATGGTGTCATGACGCCGACAGGCAGCCAGGAGTGGGACTCGTTCCTCCAGTCGAACCCCCAACTAGGTCAACACCAAAACTTGAACAACCCGTCAGCACTACCCGGTGACCAGTCATTTGATGGCCCAAACCGGGTCGCCCCGACGCTCGTCGACACCCAGGGTGATGACGCAGCCAACCCGCCTTCCCGCCCAGCATCAAGAGCTTCGACGACATCAACGACGAAGCGAAAGAGGACGAGGATACCCACCGGTCGACCACGTGGCCGTCCTCCTAATCCCAAGAAGAATGCGGTGACTGTGGACACTCTCCACAGCCAAGGCCCGGGCAGCACATCCGGCTATGAAGAAGGAACGGACGCCGAGGAAAGCGCACCTGCGAAAAAGAAGCGTGCGACGACGACAGCGGTTACGAAGAACATCAACGACCCCTTCGGAGGCAGCGCTGGCCCTGAATCTCTCAGAGTGGCTGCCAGCACGGCTGGCTCGATTCGAACCTTGCGACCACCCGGTGCTGGTGGCGAAACCACGCAAGGCAACCATCTGCAGGATGTGCCTAGAGCACCCACACCGATCCCGGCAGCAGGGCCTCGCAGGGCGCAAGGTGGCAGGGGCGCCGGTGCCAGCAGCCTTCGCCGACAATCTACCCTGAGTCAGGCTGCCATTGCTGCTGAGCAGAACCCCTCCTTCACGGAGTCTGTATCGGCCATGTCACCACCTAGCCAGGATGGTCGCTCGCCCGGAGAATCAGAGATTGCGTCTCCCGTCTACTCGGACAGCCCTGGGCAGATCGGCTCATCACCACCAGTGCCCAGAGTGACGGCCTACATCCGCTCTAGCCCTCCGGCGAGCAGCCCGACCCTGCCTCCAATGCCGAAACCACAACCAGACTCTGGGTTCATGAGTGGCGACATTGATGACCTGTTCGATGAGCAAAGCAAGCCTTTCAAATTGGAACCTACATCGCAGCCGGCGTCACGCCCAATACCGAGAGCCTCTGACCGGCAAAAGATCCCTGGCGTTCTCATCCATGAGCTGAGACAAACTCGGCCAGCGTCGAGCGATGTCGAAATGGTACTCCATGCGGATTCTCAACCGCCCTATGCGAGTAACGCACGTTCGACCCTTCCGTCCCCTGCCCCAACATATGGACCTCCCGCCCATCCATACAGACCACCTGCGCCGCCGGCCTCGCTGAATCGGTCAAAAAGCGATTCGCACGCACTCATGGCACCGCCGGCTGCGCAAGTAGGTTTAAAAGATCCGTCGCCACAGCTAGAGGAGCCAGCTGTGGCGGTTGACAGAGACATGGCAAAAGCCGCACCTGCTGCTCCGACCCAGGAAACACCCATGCCATCAGTGGAGGATCAGGGTGAAAACGGACACCCTGTTCATATTCAACAGATGATCACCTCCCAACGACCTCTCGACGAAAGGCAGTCCACGGAAAGCAGGACCCCTTCGGAGAACCAAAGACCATCCGCACACCCCACGGAAAACCCTGCACCACAAGAGCAGGAGCTCATGCAGCGCCTAGCAGCTGTTGCGAGGGATGCTTCGGAGTCAGAAGGCTCGCTGCCTCCCGCCAGCACAGCGATTGATCTGTTCGCCAGACCACTGCCGCCAAATGCCAGGCAGCACTCTCGCCCAGCCACGACCACGTCCCGACCGCAGCTGGCCGCAATCCCAGCCAGCGATCCCATCGGCTCGCTTGCACTCCCTGGTGCAGTGGATACTTCGTTTTCCGAGGCGCCCGCCCCAAAGTCTCCAAAGTCGCCTCGGTCCAACAAGAATCTTGTGAAGAAGGCAGTGATTCGGCTGCGACTAGAGGAAGCGATTGCCGCTGGTCAGATGCCTGCATACTGCACCAACTGTGGCGCCATCGAGACACCCACTTGGAGAAAGATCTGGACGCAAGAACGATTTGGGGTTCCCGAATTTTGCGAGTTTTCCGAGAAGCCTGGCAAGATCACTGCCATCATTGTCTTGGAGCGCGATACGGACGACAACCCTAGTAAATATCAACTGATCAAGAAGGGCCTAGGTGAGAAGGACAACAAGGAAGAATGGGTCGAGTCTCTGCTCTGCAATCCTTGCGGCATCTGGCTTGCGAAGTGGAAGATCCACCGACCACCCGACAAGTGGGATCGTGGCCAACAGCCAAAGACCCGGCGACGGGGTCGTGCCGCGCGCAACCCCAAGCGTTCCAAGGGTGCTGCTGAGGCTACGTCAGAAGCGGCCTTTGAAACCGACCCTGCTGGCCCTGAAGGCATGGACGGCCCCTCCGAAGACATTAGCAAAACGTTGCACGTGGCCTCGGTGGACGACACAAACTCGCGGGAAGCTTCCCTGGCGCTCGAGCAAGCCTTGCGGAACGACCTCCTTTCGCCAGCAAAGCAACATCGCTCCCGGCATGGCTCGACACACTCTCGAGGAAGCGGCACAGCGAAGAGTCCAATTATGGTGGGGGCGAGTGCGGAAGAGGCCATAATGGGAGCGACACGTCGTCTCTTGTTCCCTTCGCCCCGTAAGGATGGGCAAGTGAAGGTGCTCAACGAGGTGGCCATCAACGTCATTCAGCTGGATGCGTCTAAGGTCGAGACCAGAGATCCTGATATCAAGGGGCCCAGGGCTCCGCACCAACAAGGTCAACTGACCGTCCCTGATGACGATGATGAACTGGAGTCTCTTTTCCGCAGTCCAATGGCGCGACCTTCGACCCCTCCTACGCAAGACGGCAACCATCCAGGACCGTTCAAGACCCCTACACGGCCAACTCCGAGTCATCGCCCCGTCACGCGCAGCATCTCCAAGTCCATCAAGTCGGGCCGTTCCCGCCCTTCTCCAGCGCAAGCACTAGCTATGCTCCAAGCCACGCCCACTCGCACACCGCGCTCGCTTGCTCGTGTTTTGGGAGGCGACAGTCCCAGTCTGAGACGCAGCCCAAGGTTCACGGGACACGACGATCTTACGTTGGCGTTGCTTGAAACCCCCATGACCCGGTCGATCAGCCAGATGCTCTCTGACTACGGGGTTGAGGACGACGGCCTCGGCTTTGGCAGCATTGCAGGCATGCCAGAGCTAGAAGGCCTTGATGACATACCCTTTGACTTCGGCAGCTTGCTCGGTTCCGATGCCACTGCGGCCAGCTCGCCTTCAAAGGCCAAGCGTGGAACCGGGTTCGACTATGCGGGCACTGATCACATGTGGACCGAGTGGAACAAAGGGGCTCCCACAGAGCCGCAGGAGTGAGATATGGATCGTTATGAGACGAGGGTTATGAAAGGCATCACACAGCCCGCAGAGCAGATTAGCTGTTGTTTCGGCGTTTTGAGCGGCCCCTTCGTGGGCATTTATTGTTATTTTCTTGTCCTTTTGAGCGGGACTTGGCTTGGCGCGGATCTTGGTTCGCTCAGTATATTTGGTAGACTCTCAGCATGAACAGCGTGCGTGCGTGCATGGAGGATATCGTCGTTTTGGAGGCAGGACGTCTCAACATTGGGACACAGCCGTTGCATACAGTAGAGTAGTACGTGAGCTTGATCGTCACAATACAAGATTAACTCATCATTTTTTTTGGGAAGTCGGTGATGATCGTGACTTGATATGTTGATGCGATAAGCAGGTCACGCGTCTTTCGAGTCTGCAGTTGATCCAGCGAACACGGTGGTTACATGGTTGAGCCTGGGGAAAAAAAAGGAAGTCTTCTATACCGGCACTCCCGAGAATGCCTCCATCTACACCTAGATGATGGCACATATGATACACAAATACACGTAGTTCTACACAACCACCCTTCGCCCTTCTTCTCTCTCTCTTCGTCTTGCGTCCCCTCCCGCTCGCTGCCCTTTGGTTCCAGCCTTGCTCCTCGCCCAGGACCGGCGGCAGCACCACGTCCCGAGCACTGCCCCCACTCAGCAAGGGCCGATGCTGCTGCTGCTGCCGCGTCCGGCGATGGCAGCCGTCTCTCAGCCGCGCTTGCCGTTGCCGTCGGCGCGCTTCTTGACGATCCAGCCCTTGGCGTTGGACAGGCCGCGGATGCGCTTGGTGTACTTCCAGAGGTGGCGGTACTTGGGGCCCTGGCGCTTGGCCTCCCAGCCGCGCGGGGCCTTGGGGGGCTTCATGCTGTAGACGCGGTTGGGGCGGAACTCGACGTCGGCGCCGGGGACGCCGGCGCGGTGCATGACGTCGGCCGTGTGCTCGTCCCAGACGGTGCGGAAGAGGGTGAAGCCCGTCGGGGTCAGGGCGAACTTGTCGCGCAGGGACTTGAGGGAGAAGCCCGTGGCCGGGGCGGGGGCGGGGGCGGCGACGGTGGAAGAAGAAGAGGAGGAGGAGGACGACTCGTCGGCGACGGTCGTTTTGCTGTACTGCGCGCGCAGGGCGGCAATGTCGAGGGGCTTGTTGCCTGGCTGGTCGAGGATGAAGATGGCGAGGCGGTGGTAGGGCGCGCCCTTTTGGGCAAAGGCGGGGAGGTAGGGGACCGCGATGTGGGCGTCGCGGTTGAGGCGGCCGAGGGGCAGCGAGGGGTCGGTCGGCGAGACGGGGATGTTGGCGGCGAGGAAGTGGCAGCGCTTGGAGAAGGCGTCGGACTCTGTGTCGGGGACGTCGGGGTCGACGATGGCGACGGTGACGAGGCGCTCACCGGCGTCAAAGGGCTGGACGCGCAGGCGCGGGGCGACCTCGGTCAGGTTCGAGGGCAGGATCTTGCCGGCGGGGATCTTGGAGCGGCGGAAGTGCAGCTCGACGTCGTATGTGGGCGTCAGCTTGGGGAGGATGTCGGGGGTGATGTGGAACTGGCTGATACGCTGCTCCACGATCTTCTTGTTGTAGCCCTCCCAGCGGCGCTTGGCGAGGTAGCGGTAGATGGGTTTGCTCATGTCACCTGCGGGGGGCGGGCCAGTGTCAGCTCTCGAGCCGACGCCGGCAGGGATGAATACGTTGGGAAAAACATACCGAGTCCGTCCTCGAACCGCCTCTTGACGGCGGGATCGTTAATGTCGGCCTGGATCTTGAGATGCTCAATGTGCCTCCTAATGCTCTCGAGCTTCATCTCCCTCTTCTTCTCGCCGCCCCTGAACAGCGCGACGTCGGTCTCGCGAATCTTGCGCATCTTCTCCACCTCGGCAGCAATGGCTTCGACCTTCTTCTGGCGATCGAGGGCGAGAATCTTGCGCGCCTCCTGGAAGGCCTGGTAGGGCAGCTGCTCAAAGGGCAGGTTCTGCGAGGTGCGAATGGCATAACGACGACGACGAGAGCCCACAGGCGGTGTGCCGGCCTTCCAGAGATCCTTCTCGGCCCAGGGCGCGACGGCCGTGTTGGGGTCGAGCTCGAGGGGGTCGGGGGTGCCTTCGGGGCGATCACGAACGACCTTGTAGACTTCTGCTGGGGCCGAGGGCGTGGTTGTGAAGGGACGCAGCTGGAGAGCGTCGTGCCGCAGACATTTGGCCAGTGGCCTCGCGGCCTGCCGGCAAGAGGACATGGTGTGTGATGATGGTGAGGAGAGCCAATTGGTAATGCACCCCTTGACGGCTGGCGGTCCTTTCTGCGAGACGGGATGATGGGGGGATTTCCGTCAGGGAACTGAAAAATGAAGCTTCAGCAACACGCGACTTTGCGGGTCCCACAATAATCGCCCACGGCATCTGTCCATTGGATCAGGGGCTCCATCCGCCCCGGCCTCGGATTATCCCGCTGGAGCTGTCTGCAGCCAGCCAGCCTCGTGCTTAGGTAACGCAAAGGAGTCGGTCGAGCCAGGCCAAATTTTCGACAACGGCGGCTCGTACTGGTGAAGCATTCGAGGAAACCATCGTCAACCCGACCACGACGACGGCCACAGATACGGGCAGACGAAGCCCAATCACATCAAACAATGGCAGGGAAGGGCATTCGAGGTCTCCATGAGGCCATGACGAGGTTGAACCTGTCCGCGGGTGTCACCAAGTCGGCGAGCACGACCTTCACGCGATCCATGGCCACCGAGGTGCCTCTGCCGCAGATGACAACCACCTTCAAGGCCGCCCCCAAGATCTCCACCGACGCCTGGGCACCACGTACGTCTCTGGTCTTCTGGAGACGTTGACGAGACTGCCGAACGCGCTGGCTAACCCGTCTTGCAGTATCCACCGTCCCCGTCACGATCCACGCCTTCCCGACCCTCGCCCCCCGCGCCCTCGAGTCCTACTCTACAAAACACCTCTACCTCCCGCTCCGGCGCGACCTCCTCCACCTCGCCGTCATCTACGAGGGTGACTCCCACCGCCAAGGTACGGGCTCGACCAAGACGCGCTGGGAGGTCCACGGCTCGCACCGCAAGGTGCACCCGCAAAAGGGCCTCGGCCGCGCCCGCGTCGGCACGAAGCAGTCGCCCATCCGCCGCGGCGGCGGCGTCTCCCACGGCCCCAAGCCGCGCGACTTCGCCACGCGCCTCAACCGCAAGGTCTACGACGTCGCCTGGCGCACGGCCCTCAGCTACCGCTACCGCCGCGGCGAGCTCCTCGTCTGCGAGGACGGCATGGAGCTGCCGCTGCCGCGCGACTTCACCGACCTCCTGCTCGCCGGCTACGTCGACGAGCCCGTCGCCCGCCAGTACCGCCGCAAGTGGACCGAGCAGGTCCTCGCCGCCAACGCCTGGGGCCGCGCCGACGGCCGCACCCTCTTCGTCACGGCCGACAAGAGGCCGCTGCTGTTCGACTCGATGGTCGACGCCGGCATGCACGGCCGCTGCCTCGAGGTCGGCGACGTCGACGTCAAGGACCTGCTCGAGGAGGGCCGTGTCGTCATTGAGCGCGCCGCGCTGCGCGAGCTGCTCGAGAGCCACCAGAGCGATCTCGTCAGCAAGATTCTCATCCGCGGCCTCGCCCAGTCGGGACCGGCCATTGGCGAGCCCATCGTCGCGTAAGAGAGAGAGAGAGAGAGCGAGAGAGAGGAGGGAGAGCGCAGCAAGGGGGCGCGATCATGCACAGGCGAATCGCATGACGACGAGTGTAGCAAGCAGCACGTGGCATTTTTCATTGTACCATTACACGGCACGAGGCATAGTACGTTGGGCCGCCAAGGAGAAGACCTCACACGGTCTGGCCTGTTGGAGAGTAGGAGGGAGGGGCGGGGGCTTTCGAAATGACACGCGAGTCTTGTAGGAATAGAGGACTGACTATACGTCCCTTGTACAACTTCACAGCGCGTACTCCCCCATCGTGATGCTCACGTGCCTACCTGATTTTCGCCCACGAGCACCTTCACGTTGCCTCGAACAAGCCATGCATGCATGCCCTTTCGTCAGCGGTCGACCTTGTGTCGAGCCCCTTTCAGCTTCCAAGATCGAGACACGTCGTCAGCTTGTCGTCAGACCCGACCGGAGCGCCGACGAGAGAGCACGCCCATGGCGTCCCCATTGTTTGCCTGCCGCGAGGACCTCCCCCAAAGAGGACCTCCCCAAGAGAGGCATGACACAACGGCACCCAAAAAATCAAACCATGAAGGTGATTCGTCCATGAGCCAAGCGACAACGCATCCCCGGGGGCGGGTGTCGTCTAAAATCTGCCCCCCCCTAATCGCGATCGCAACGCGGCCGCCGATCGCCGTCCACGATCTCGCCCGAGTCATGACCGGGCCAATGAGACGTCGCCAGATCAGGGGTTGCTTGGGGGTTCACCCCGACCAGCCTCATGACGAGCTTACAGGGTCGGCGTGAGGCGTGGCAGCAGGCGCGCGCCATCATTCAAAAAGGCCGCTTGCTGGCGCTTTTGACGAACGTGCTTCATTTTCTGTGCCGAGACTCTTGCGCTACGCCCTGTCCTCTCGCCCCGTGTCAGATGCGCCGCCGGCTGCCTGGGAGCATCGCTTGGCGGTGGATGGGAATGGGGCCGATGACGTCTACGGGGCCCCCGATTTCGTCTGCATTGCAGCAATTCCATGGCATGGAAGCCCGTCACTCGTGCACCAGACCTGATCCAGCGTTATAGCATGGAAGCAGAGAGTTCATGTGCCGCCGACATGGAAAAGAAATAGAGCCACCCTGCTAACAATACCCAGAAACGCCTTTCCATTCATACAAACTCGTCCCTCAAAGGATCCCTATTTCGTCCTCGTCGCCGTTCGAGACGACCCGTCAATTGTTGTACCCTACGCTCAAAGAACACCTCCCTACGAAGATCCCCCTTATCGAGGTCCTCTGGGTATCCCATTCCAAACCTGTAATTCTCATCGAAACGCTAAAACGCCATGGATACCAGGTCCAGAGGCCACGGACTGTTACCGTTTCTCTCTTGCGCCGGCTGACACCAACTCCAGTGTCGTGGTATACGTCTTTTCAACCCCTCAAGCCCGAGTCCGAGTCCAGTGGTCGAACGTTGTTACGTGCCCATTGGCCGTACTGCTTTCTGCTTCGTCGTTCTGTGTTATTTCCTTTTGTGCTTTTACGCCCGGAGATTGGTGCCGCGATGATGCGTCGCCTTGCGAGCTTAGCCTCGATCACAGGCTCACGAGGTTTCTTCGAAGATGCTGTCCGGCATGTGATCATAGTTGATATGCCCGCCTCCCACAACGCCAGAGGTCACCGCCGCCAGATTTGGATCCATGGGCATGGAACCCATTGATAGATGAGTTGGAGGCCCCGCTGCAATTCAAGGCACTCGCATCAGTTTCCCATAACTCGGACGGATGAGGGGGTGGTTGGTCAGAGACATACCCAAGTGGTTAGGAGGCAGGGTCATTGCCCCTGGAGGCAGCTGCTGCTCGGAGGGCAAAGTGGCCCCGTGAGCCGGGTTGAACCTCTTGCTCGAGTTCTGCGCAAACCGCCTCGCTTCAGCCTCGAGCCAGAGATCGATGTTGCGGTCGTTGCAGGGTGCGTGCGACATGAGCTGATCCTTGAGCCTGGTGATTTCGCCCAGCAGCCCATTGTACTCGGCATGCAACTGCATGTTGTGGTTCTCCAGTTCCTGCTTTGTGTCCTGCAGTTCACTCATCCACTCCTTCTTCTTCTGTCGGCATTTGCTCGCGGCCACTCGATTTCTCTGCAAGAAAATATCACGCTTGGGGTCGTCTTGCGTAGACGGCACCGAGCTGGCCGAACTCTTCTTTCGCTTGTGCTGTTTTTTCGGAAGGGCTGGAGGGGGTTCGGCAGAGGGGTCGGTCGATCTGCTCGACGCCTGTACCAGAGCGGGAGGCGTCGACCGCTGTGTGGAAGACGCCTGCGAGTCCACCGTGGCTGTCGAGCCCCGGGTGTGTCTTTGGGACCGGCGGTTCCTCAGATTCATCGTGTCGGTTTCCAGGTTTGGTTGTGCAGGGTCGTCTTCGATGTTCGATGCTGTCCTTTGCGCGGAGCTCTTCGATGCCTGCAGTTGTGCCGCCAGCAGTACCTCGTTTGGTTGGTTGAGGAAGAACGTGGTATCGTCGACGCCTGGTTCTGTCTTGAGGCCGGGTATGCTTTCGGTGTCGAAATATCCGTCGCGGCCCGGATCGTCGTATGCCGCTTCGTTGAAGAACTGGGAAGGAGTGTCCATGGGGGGCTGTAAGCGCTGGACCTTACTGGGGCAACAAAGTCTGCCGTTGTTGAAGATGGCGAGGACCAATCTCTGCGACCAGAGTTGGACGCTCGAATGCAGTTGGAATATCCTCAACGTGACACGAGACAGGCTGAAGGAGCGGCACAGCACAGCCTTGTCAAGAAGCCACGGGCGTGCTGAGACGGTCACGGAGCCAACTCAGTGGTCGAGCGTTCGAGTCGAATGGCTCACCAGTGGAAAGACCTGGGGCGTAATTAGCAAAATGAATGATTTGCTGGTCGACAATGGCGAAGAGCGCCCGCACAAGTGAGGGGTCGCGGCGACAAGTCGGGAGCAAGACCTAGATGCAAATTGGCAACGACGAAAGGGAATGCAGCAGTGCGAACGACAACACAAGAAAGGGCACGACTGGACGGGTGAGGAGGAGGAGTATTCCACGGCGCAGAAGACGGGCAGAGCAATGCAGCGCACAGCATGCACCCAGGGGAAGCAAGTGATACGCGGAACACCGTTTGCGCTTGAGATGAAGTGGGCTCGCTGCCACGCTGAGGCGGGGGGGCGATGTCTAGATCAACCCGATGCGGATGCGCAGCGAGACAAGTCGACCATGGCGACACATACGGGCCAAGCTTTCGACTCAAGGGGTGCAGGCAGGGCAATTGAAGATGAGGCTGGCACGTGTGGGCAAACAGACTTTTGCTCCCCAAAGGCAACAGACAATGCTGGCAACCCGAGTTTGTGAAGCGCAAGGAGAGGGGAGCAAAATACGGGCAGGGTGCTGTACCGTACCTGTTTGGTGATGGATCGGAGTCAAACCCGGGCCCGCGGCTGGGCGTATGACCAGTTCTCGGCAGCGGCACGACGGCGCTGTGGAGGATCAAGTCAAGAAGAGTAGGAGGCGGCTGCAGCGAAAGCGAAGGGCAAGGAAATGTTGGAATGTGGCTCGGCGACCTGGACGCGGGAAAGATCTCTGGAGACAGCGGGAGGGTCGTCGTCGCAACGATTGCTGGGATGCGAGTGCTTCGTGTGCTCAATGTGAACAAGGGCGCGGCGCGTGGTTCGAGAGAGACGAGGCCGGGGAGCGAATAAACAACAGACCGGAGATGAATCCGTAGATGAAGAGGGAAAGATGTTGATGGGAAGCAGGAAGGGAAAGCGACAGAGATGATCAGCGAGGGGAGGGGACTTCTACTCCGTTGAAGTTGGTTTCCAATGTGGTGAACAACCTGGCAGGCGATACCTGACTCCTGCCTACCTACCTTTCTTCACTCAGGATTCTTCAGCTGCTTGCCTACCATCCTAGGTAGGTACCTAGGTAGGTATGGTAAGGTACGGTGACCAGGTAGACGGCCGTAATCTACCTTGAGGTACCTTACCTACCTACCTACCTTGCCCATCTCTCTCGACCTGCCCGTCCATTCCTTAGGTGCGGTACGGTACGGTACGGTACCTCGTTGGCGTACCAGCTACGGGGTGCGTCCTGCGCCCCGACAAGTTACCAATAGGCCCAGCGCGCCAACCCGCCACCGAGCGAGGTGAGGTGGGCGAGAGCTCCAGTGGAGCAATCACGCAGCCCCAAGGCGACGAACAATCAAGGCAACAGAGGGGCCAAAGACTCGAAAGGGCACATTGTGAACGGGCCCTGCAGGCGTGGACAGGAGGAACAGCTCCGGGGGGGCACCTTGGTGCTTTTGGTGCTTTGGTGCTTTAGGTGGAGCTGAGTAGACGGATGGATGTACTGTACACCCTGGGACTTGCAGGCTTGCGACCTTTCTCTGAGAAGCAAGTGGCTGCTGTGCCTGCTCTCGTTTCCCGCTGCGTTGAATCGAGGGGACCTTGTGCTCCTGTTCTGTTTCGGGGAGGGGTGGGTGCTCTTCGCTCTCGCCCGTCTGCTCGCTAGCGACCCGAAGCCTTACAATGCTGCACTTGGCAACCCTACCTACCGTGTTCGGACTGGCGGGCTTTGTCGCATGGGATTTCGGCGAGGGGAGGCAAAACAGCATGGGCATTGTGCTGTCGCCTGTTTGGCTGGGCTCGCTAGCTGGCTGGCTGGCTGGCTGGCTAGCCATTTTGCCACTGGGAGGGACGGCATTTAGCTCTGGCGCAAAGGGAGGTACCCTCTGTAAGGCAGCACGGGTGTGGGTGGTGGTGGTGGTGGGCCCCCCCCCCCCCGCCCAAGCGTCGAGGCGCCGTCTTGAACAGTGCCTAGGGGAGCTTGGGGATTGGGGAGTCAGCGTCCAAGGGAAGCTAAGCCGCCCCCCCCACCGTAACAAGACCCATCAGGGGATGGCGAGGAACGGCTCCGGCTCGCCGTCAACGCCTCGTCTCGTCAGTCCCCCATCCCAGAAACCTTGCCAAGGCGGCCAAAGGATGAAAGACCTGCCGTGTGTGGTGTGCCTGGGGGCTCGAGAGGAGGGGAGACAACAGCAGCGCCTGAGCAGCCAGAGCACGCGCGTGTGGAGAACCGGAACTGGGCCGTGGCTATCCCCACCCACCCACTCACCAGCGCGTGATGGCAGTTTTAGTAGTGAGCGCAACGGAGACGGGGACGGCGGTGGACTCTTGCCGTCCCAAAAACGATGACCCGGACTGGTGCTGGACGCAGTCGCCGAGGACTTTGCTCCGCGAGGTCCCCACTGTACCCACCAACTCCCAGGCCACAGCTTACAGCGTTGTTTGTCTCTCCGTCTCAGCCTTGCTGTCATGGGCTCATTTGCATCCTTTTGCGTTATGCTGGCACCTCTTGGCCAGGCATCGTGCCGTCGAGTTCAAAACGGCCACGAGAGTAACCGGCCACGAGAGTAACCGGCCACGAGAGTAACCAGCCACGAGAGCAACCAGCCACGACGAGACAGACGACCAAGTATCGAATATATGTGCCTCTGACACCATTTCATCAAAAGAAAGTTTCACCTCGAGGAAAGAAATTCAGGGCCCATGCCGTCATCATGACGACGCATGGGAAAGGTAGTTCTGGTCGTCGCGATGCTCACTGTTCACTGGCGTCAGCTTGTGGAGAACGATCCGCTGTTCTTCTTTTTCACACACAAGTCCTCTCCAATGGAAAGAAACCGACGAACCAGCGACGGCCGAACCGCATCGGCACGGCCGCCGTCTCCGGTTCAGGGCACTCTTGCTGTGACAGCTTCCCTGGCCTGCCTACCTGTCAGCCCGTTTTCTCCGCGGCACGGGCATGGAGACACACCTGACTAATGACAACGGAGCTGACAGGTGCCTCCCGACCAGTCTGATCATGATGTGATAATGAGACTTCGAGTTGTGCGCGGCTCTCCCATGTGGGGTGGGAAAAAGAGAGACGTGCATGGCCATCCCTCCCTGCGATCTGCGCCTAGATGTGACAGGTCGACCCTACTCCTGGCTGCGGTACCGAAGGGTCCTGGGCTGCACGACATGCGACAGCGCTTTTCTGTCCTTGGATCGTCGGCCGGCTGCCAGGTTTCGCCAGGAACCGCGAGTCAAAATCAGGTGATGAGGTGACCGTGGAGGTGCCAAGGGCCCCCATTCTTCGGAGGAGGCTCGGAGACCCTGATGACGTTGTCTGCCATGGAAGAAAAAACAGCACAAAGGAAGAGGAAGACGAAGCGGGCGGCGACCTGGGCCCCAATTGGGCCAGGTTGCGAGTACCGGCACATCGCCGTGGGTTTGATATAACGGATGACAGCAGCGGTGACAGTTCCGATGTAGGTACGTACATGTAAGATGGGCAGCAGGTCGTTGGTGGGGAGGGGAAGGAGACACAGCTTCACGTGATAGCGCGACCGTGCTGCGGGGCTTTCTCCCAGACGCGTAGTAGTTCTGGACTGTTTGCACTCAACGCCAAACGCCAATCCATCGATTAACACCAAGGAACAGAAGCAGCAGACACCCCCAAAAGTAACGAACCAAGCTTAGTCCTGGCCGTTGCACCTCCATTGCCCAAAGAGTATCAATTGAACGGGGAAAAATGGCCGACGCTTCCTCCAACCCGCGTGTCAGTGCGCAGTACCTGGACGCCTATGTTGGTCGCAACGTCATCCTCGTCGGCAAGGTCACCCAGCTCCGAGGCGACACGGCCATCATTGACTCGGATGGCCCTGTGACGGCCATCCTCGACCGCGTGAGTCTGACACCCAAATTCCCATCATGCCCCCGTATCCTGCGAGATCGTGTCGTGCTGACAATGAGACAAGGACGCCCACCTCAACAACGGCAGCGGCGCCCAGGTCATCGGCAAGGTCAACCCCGACCTGTCAATCAAGGTCCTCACCTCCCGAGACCTCGGCCCTGATGTCGACTTCAAGCTCGCCTCGGCCGTCGTCGAGGCGACCCAAAACTTCAAGCCGCTGTTCGTCTACGAAGGAAATTGACCGCTCGAATCCCGCCCATCCTTTCCCGCAGCGTACACACCGCCCTCCTCTGCCGCGTCACGGGCCAGCTCGCAAACGCAGTATCGTATGCCCGCGTCGGCGGCATGGCCAGACAGCAAGCCACACGCATCGAGTCCCCGTGCGACCCAGCCCGACCAAGCCTCTGGGCGCCATCCTATGATCGTGGACATACCACTACGCACAAAACGAGTCGACGAGAAGCAAGCGGTACCACTGACCCCCGATCGTCACCCCCGGCACGGACCCCGACCCTCGGCCCAGGCACGAACGGATAGCGGAAGCGCTTCTGCAGATAGCAGCTGGCAAGATTATGATAATGAAATACAAGCTATTACACCGGAACCGCCCCATCGACGGCGGCTCGACTTGCTCGAGAACGTGATTAGGCGTGCTCAAGCGCCGCAGGTTGAGGATGAGTCGGAGCTGTTCGGAGCCATCTTGGAGGGGATGGGTCGCATGACGGTTACCATGCGGAAGGATTCTGGCGGGCGGTGGCGGATACAGCGGCACTCCAGTACCCTGAGGTGGTTTTAAGAAATCTCACGTCTGCAAATGCTGTGTTGGTTGCGCTACGGTGCCGTGTGTTGCAGCATGGCAGTAGACGGCGTG